TGAAGGGAGGACGTAAAAAACTTTTGCTTCCATCCGGTATTTTCTCGAGTTGAGGAGAGCACATAAGATGGGAAGGCCGAATGCGTTTGCTGAAAGGCAGCCACTGAAATGCTCCACGTGCCTACAAAGCAGCTCAGCTGCGGACCAGAGACCCTTTTTAAGCTTGGGTACGGCCGATCAACCGTGTGGGGTCTAAGATTATCTGTAAAAACAGCAGTTACAAAGTTGGCCATGCTTTTGCGTGTTCATCACTACGCTTAAAATATTCTCAAAATATGATCGTAAGGAATGCGCCTTAAATGGCCACAGGACTAGTAAACATGCAGACTGTTTCCGAAGATCAGACATCAACCGCCGTGGTGTGGGGCCGAGGAAAAGTGTGAAGACAACCTTAAAGTTACGAAGAATCCTGGGGAAACTGATCGACAGAATATCACAGAATATCAGTGCCTTTTCTAGAAGCATTGTTCAATTTAATCGCATACGAAGGTTCCGGTCATAATTATTATTTTTATTGGTAGCAGTGACGGCCAAAGTTAGTTTAGGAATTGTCTTGATGCGAACTTGACAGACGCGAGGACCAGTCACTAATTATTCTAACTTGTTATGTACCCACGAACACGGGACCAAGGAAGAACACGATAGCGTAGTCGGATGGAATAGGATATTTAGGTGGTTGTACCAAGATACCGGTGCATCCCAACTAACTGGCTAGAGTCGACTACGGGCAGTGCAACGTAACAGGACGGCGTGCCAAATGGCGGGGATGCTTGACCGGGTGTCTGCAGCTCAGCGAGTCCACTTAAACTGCAAAGATCATCATCAATGCTGGAGGTCGTCAAACCCTAGGCTATTGATTTTGGGGAAGTGTGTGACGCTACATTAAAAAGAATTATAAATTGCCATGCTGCCTGGGTTTCTGGGAGGCCGCAAACTTATCGTCGCGTCTTACTGTAAGTCAATGAGAAATCTAAAGTGCTTCGGGGTCCAGGTTTTGCTCAAAGGGCTAAAATACTCGTTAGGTCTTATGCCATATTAGAGAATCAGGACGCCAGCAGATTTTGACAGAGCCTAGCACAATATATAGAGCTAAATGTTTGCCGATGCAGGATAATTTGCGAAGGAATAGAAGCAGGTATGCATTCACGGTTCAGGAAAATTCATTCAAATATTTTTGGCGGGAAAAATGAAGAGGTAAAGTCAATTGTTGAAACATTCGACAAAGATACCTGGATTAGGCTTTTCATTTGCTCCCCTCATTACGACAGTCTGAGGGCTGCTGTATTGACCTATGGTCATGTGTTTGTTTTGTAAGTATGGATAAGGTTCTACGAAGTATAGAATAATTTCATAGCGATGAATGACAAAGGCTTCCACCAGCTGACAAATGTAAGGATGGATGCAAACAATGTGTGAATGATATCTGATTAATCATCAGTTGAATAACCATACTCACTCTGGTCTTCAAGTGGGATGTAGAAGCGGTGGTATCATTTTTTTTAGAAAAATGTCTCGGTAATACGCTGTCGTAACTAGAGCAGTAGCCAAGAGTTGTGAGTGAACGAGGTTAATTTCTTATCAACGCAGACAGAGACACCTACTCCTTGCGCTCAACAACATTTCAAATGGATGACATAGCTCTTAATCCCCTTATCTCACATCAGAGATTCAATACTGCCTCGGATGATACTGACGTGTACACATGCCTTTGTAGCGCACATTTCTGCCAGCTTGTATACTCGTGCTCAGATTACCGAAATATTTATGCACTTTGTTAAAAGAAATCAAGTCGAGCTACTGCCCTTTTCGAGTGGACAGACACTCGCTAAGTGCTGTCAGTTAGATGCTTGGCACAACCACTAATACTAATGCTACTACCAGAATAGAAAATACCATTAACCAGCTAATCAGTGACGCATTACAGACATTCTTGGCCGTGAATAGACCGCTGATAGTCAAAAAGATTTTCACATACGTGCCAAACGAATTGACCCCTGATCTTTGCATCTGCTTCAGTGACACTTGCATCTTTACGCAGAGAAACATGGTTAATAGTGAAATGCAAACTAAGAACAATGAAACCACAGAAAATAAAGCTTGAAAGCGAACAATGAAATTAATTCCGTCATCCTATTCGTCGATTGGTGTTTGGAGACATCATGCTGGGATATATTGATGTAGTCGACTGACACCAGCTGGATGCAGGGTTATACACCCTAGCTAAAAATCGCAGAAGCCAGTCTGTTCTGGCTGCACAGAAGCGACCGGTGGCTGCTACGAAATGTCCGCTTATCATAGGAACACTTAGTGCCAGGAGTAATAAAGTACAGTTCCTACTACTTCCCGATCTGCTGGTTGTCAGTCGGTCATCTGGAACCATAATGACACTACCTGGGTCTCAGCCTGTAGAAAGGCGTCCTGAAAGATGCAGGCCCGGTGAATTCCATACAGGGGACCAACTGGGGTTTTCCCAAGTTAACAGCAGGAACTACGGCTGAGATTTCTCTTCTTTATGTCCAACAGTGGTAGTGGTGGTTTCCACACACGAGGCTGGGGAAAATCGGAAATACATAAGCCTCTACTGCCTTCACATGTGATGACGACGGCTTCACTTGGTTAGTGGTTATCAGCTTCGGTCAGCAAGGGCCCCTGACCGACGTTCCTGAGACGTGTTGGGATGCTAGGGACGAGGTTAGAAGCGATTTTTATTGCCATCAACAACTGCCCACCAACCCCCGCGTTGTGGCCCAGTGTCTATTTTAGTTAGCATTACGGTTAGCAAGGATGGTAGAGGTTTATTCAAAAGAAAAAGACGATGACTTTAAGAGGCACAGGCGTGTTGATGACAGGCGAGATGAAAAGCAGGATTCAAATAGCCTGGTGACATGAAAAATAAGAGATCTGGTGGTTGGGACATGAGGAAAGAAACCAGTTTGGGAGGCAGCCGGGTGGGGCAGAGGTCTTTGGACTGCGGCGGGAACAAACAACAAGGAGGGTCTTTGCAAATGACAAGATATCCGGTAGTCAGTGTTGTATTCTTCAAGCGCTAGTTTATGGTTTGTATACGACCTTGGTGCCAAGTAAGTACCAAAAACTGACCGACAGTATCTGCCCTGCAATCTTCCACCATGTGCCCTGCAGCACACTCCCCACGAGATGATAGTAGCTACCTGCTCTGTTCTCCTTCCATGGCCTAAAAGAAGCAAACCCAAGCTCATACACTTCTTCAGATGCGAAACAAAGTCACCATCTGTAATTACTTGTGAGGTGGCAAACGCTCGAACATAAGGAAAGTAGCGAATAAAAGACTCAAGATGCTTTATGAGCACAACATCCATCTTCTTGAAGCTGCTTCTTCTCAGTATCCGTTCTGTGTATTTTTGCCGGCCACATAACTTTTCAAGAATTTTCAGGTGATTATCACCCCCTCTCATTCCTCGAAAGCTATTTTCCGCATCCTACTAGCAAAACTATCGCCTTGCATTATACTGATATATCCTCTATACTGAGATACACTCCTCATTTTCTGAACAAGATCTGGGAACCATCATTTCTCATCATTTGGGAACGCAAAGGTCGGGAGACGGTTTTTACCTGACCTCAAGCTTCCCAGTCAACGTGGTCGAAAGTCGAAGGAGCCACCTATCCTTGAGATAAGACTGTATGAAATAGGGTGAATGGCTAAGCAATGCTCCCACCCCAAAGTAATCCTTCCGCTTTCCGAGAAATGAGTTGGGGTTGGACCTAAGCAAACCATTTTTGTATCTGTACCTCCAAATTATCAAGAAGATCGTGCCTGAAAAACCGGGATGCATACATACACACCAATATGTATGAAATAGATATTATTGTTATCATCGGATACTGGTCTTAACACCCCTAATTGGAATGACAAATGTGAGCCACTTTAAATGAATTGGCAAATCTACTACACCAGAATCTACCGAAAACTAGGAAAAATTTCGCAACTTAAGAAGCCAAGCGCAAGGAGATAAGTTTTTTTACAAAAGTGGATGCTGGAATTAGACGGTCGGAATATTTCAAAGGTACTTCTTCCGTAGTTAGTGCAAAAGTTTGTTTGCAACTGAACTGTGACTGGGAATGCGACCCTAAACCAAAGGGGTTTCAGCGTCACGTGCTTCTCCAGAATCAGTTGCCCAGGATTAGACGAGATTCAGCATTGATGCTGACCTTCACAGTTTAACTGGACTCGCCAAGCTGAAGGTGCCCGGTCGAGCATCCTCGTCATTTGGCACGCTGTTGTGTTGCTTTGCACTGCTCGCAATCAATCCTGTAGCCAGTTAGTTGGAACGTATCGGTATCTCGGCACGACCTCGCAAACGCTAATTCGTCCGACTACCCTATTGTGTTCTTTCTTGGTCTTGTGTTCGTGGGTATATAACAAGTTCGAATAATTGGTGTTTGGCCCCTACGTTTGTCAAGTTCTCATCAGGACAATTCCTAAAGCATCAGTAGAATGTGCCACCGACCCTTCACGTAAGAAAGTCCACGGCTTGCAGAAATCTTATTTTACTTCCTTCCCTGTTCATGATTCAGTTCATTCCATCTCTCCATCTTCATTGTTTTAAAGACTTCGATAAGCTCTAGTTATTATTTCTGGTGACTATCTAAAAACCAATAAGATCACCAAATAACTGTTGATGCTGATCTTTTTTTCATTCTAATACTAATACTTCCCTACCTCACTTATTTCCTTCAGTCCTAATTAAATCACTACCTGCTAAGCCAAAAGACTCTGATTTAGGCTGTACAACTGTGTTAGTGTAAATGATAGTTGTTTCCAAAAATCGAATTAACATCCATTATCTTACTGCATCTAACGAGGGCGCACTACATAAATGATCACAGTTTCTACATGAAAATCCATTAGATGTTGAAATATCTTTTTTGAAACAGTCATCGAACATGAAGTTGTCACTTGATTAGTAATTGCCACTCACTAGGTTATTGGATATTGGATATATACGGCGTTTTAATCACTCAAAACTATCGGTTTTCTACGGTCGCCCTATTATTTGGTATCTGAGACTTTTTAAAAATGGAAAAGAGGATCTTACCTTGCAAGCAACCTGCGATCAAACAGGTTGTTCTTCATAAAACCAATAACATCCTAGATAAGAGAAAACAAGGATAAGCCGTTTTTCCCAACGGACAAAGATGGCAATATCATTCCAGGAACATATGGAACACCTGTTGGAGGTTGTCGGTATTTATTTCGTAATGCTTACTCAGTATTCAGAGGTGAAAATAAGAAAGATAGAAGCACCAAAAGTTTTGATGTAATATCACTGGCACGTTCGATGAACAGTGACTTCGCTTCCAAGACAAAAGAGCTTTTTAACCCAGAAGTAGAAGCTGTGAAAGAAGCCATTGAGACAGGTATTGAGTAGATTTTTAAATCTTCCAAGTTTTCACCATTGAAATTAAGGTATTTTAATGTCATTGTGCATTGCAAGAGTAAACGTTTAGGATTCTTATATCCTCTGGTCAACTTTAACCCAGAGGTCACGGTGGTACGCTGTCATAATTGTGACTATTAGGACGTATTTATGATTACACACTAAATTCTAATGCTGGACAAAACTGCACACAACTAGTGTTTTCATAGCTTTGACTTTGTCTTGGTGAAGTATTCCATTCTAATGAACTCGCAGGAACATTCGCCTCACCAGAGCTAAAAGCAGAAGAGATTTCCTTGTCCAATGTAGGAGCGAAACGAATAACACGAACCGAGCCCCAAAAACTAGACACGAGATATCAAACTATCAGTTTCCTACACTCTCACTATCGATGTTGGATGACGTTCGATGAATAGTAATCCTTTAGGATAATTATATATTATAGCATACCTATGGTAACATCTCGTAGCACATACTTGGGTTATCCGGCGTCGTTAGTTTTCGAACTCTTGCATCCAGTTCTTGCAGTTTGGTTCTTCCTTTGATTCGACTACAATGTTTCTCAGTGAGATGAAAAATCAGTGCCTTTATTCACTTTAGTTTCTTATACAGTATGCTTCATATAGCAAGGCTAGCTTGATAGCACTCTAAATCATCTATAAAAGTTTATTGGTTTTAAGAAATTGCCTTAACGCAAACTTGACAGATGCAGAGATCAGTCACTACTTCTTCGTACTAGTAAAATGCCCACAAGTGCGAGGCCAAGAATGAACACTAACGTAGTCAGGTGAGAATAGTGTGCTTTATGAACCATGCCAAAATACCAAGACACTTCGACTAACTGACTAGAGAATCATGTACGAGAGAAGCAACGTAGTGTGACACTGCCAAATGGTGTGGATGTTTGACTGTGTGCCTTCATCTTAGCCAGTCCGTTAGAACTATGAAGGTCAGCATGTGTTCATTTCCGCTGAACGCCTATCTAGTTTGTTCGCGATAACCCTAAGATGACACTAACCGACGGTAAAAACCTTATGGCTTTGCCATTAGTGGAACTCTTCGGATGAACTCACTATAAATTGGACTCTGGTTGTTCCGATTTATTCAGGGGTATCACGAAAATGATAAGGTAGTGAATCGAATAGTAAGTTGACTATGACCCTCACTGTTATTTGACTTGCAGTCCGTTGCTTGTTGCATCTGGAATAAAGACAAAACCTTTACTACCACGAAAAGATTTTACGACGACGAAAATCGAGAACATGGATATGTCACTGGTAAAAAACATTCATAGGAAAACTTGACATAACTTTTTTAATGTATGACCCGGTACGGAAAAAGGATACCATAACTGTGAGAAGTGAGAAGTTATTTTGGATTCTCAGTAAAAATGGCGCCATCATGAAAAGCACATGCTAACTCGCATTAGACAGTTGAATACGTTTTTGAATTTTGTGGGAACCTGACGGTTCGATCTGAATGTGTTTTGGTTGTGCGACAGATGGTTATGTCTCTGTATTTCCAGGTGATGCATCAAGAAATCCGGTCATCAGACGTTCTACCGGTTGGTTGTTGTGAGGAGAAATGTCTTTTACGACGGGGTTACATTCAGATTAATTTCATTTCAAACGATCGGTGCTCACAGTGTCTTCACGTCCGTTTCACGTGATTAAGCAGAATTTTTCGTGCCGCTTGATGACTTTGAGTGGTCCATCGTAAGGTGGTTTAAGTGACTGACGAACGGTATCGTGGCGTATGAAGACGATGTCTTGCATAAAACGGGTGGATGAAGACAGTTGTTTGACGTCGAGCAGGAGTTAGCCTAACTGAGCGCATTGCGCTTGTAAACCTAATCACTTAAGATATTCTATCGACAGTACTTTTGAAAGATGAAATGAACTAACGTGATAGTCGAAGAGTAGTTCTTCAGAAGCACATCTACAATCAGCTTTCGACGCATTCCGGACACATAGCATGACTAGAGGCAGTGCCTTGGGACAGTTTTCAGCTATCGATGAAAACATTATGCCGTGTCATTTGCTTGTAGTGATAGGCTGTCGCTCAAAACAGAGTGCCATCCAAAAGTGTGGTTGAAGCGTGAAATAATCCACATTCGAATTAGCACCCGCGGGTGGTTGTTATGTAAGATTGACATCGGAAGTTTTCTATCCACCTTTCGACGAAAATACGGGCGGTGGTTTCAGAAGCAATATCCTCAATAGTTACTGCTTCTGTCAATCTCTTAAAACAATCCACACAGTTGCAAAGATAAATGTGCCCACTAAATCCTGGTAGGGATCCTAAAATATCTATATGGACTTTGTTGAAACGACCGTCTGGCACTAAAAAAGAACCTATAGAGCTTTTCGTGTGTCGTGTGACTTTACACTTTTGACAAGCTACGCACAAACGACCCTACTGTTTAGCGTCTTTTTTCATCTCAGGTTAGCAAAGTTGTGCAGTAAGCCTCATGGTGGTCCATACACGTGAATGATATAATTTGTGCAACATATTGAAGACATTGCGTTGACATCTTTTCAGCACTGTCGGGGAAGGGGGGGCTGACCTGCGGATACATCACATAAAATTTTATCTTTACCTGGTCCTACTGGGCTAGTTGTAGCCTGAGAGTTGAAGAGGACAATTCGTGGTTCATCTGGGGATCTTTTGGAAGCCAGCCAATTGAACAAGGTCTATACCTTCAATATAAGTTCTTGAAAATATTCGAGAAAATGCGTCAGTTACAGAGTTATTTGCTCCAGATATGTAATGGATATTCGAAGTGAAGTTGATAATATAGTGCAGTTGTCGTGACCCATATGGGGAATACTTGTTGGGTGTTGAGCTGAAAGAGCTTAGCCCCTTGTACTCCGTGAAAATAATAGAGTCACGACCTTCAACGGAGTGTCGAGCGTAGCACACAGAACAGTACGCAGGTTGGAGTTTTTTTTTACCAAACACTCTCCCTTGTTTCTTTTTCTTGCAACCGCCTCAGGAAAAAGGCTACTGGTTGTTGATCAGCTGTTGCAATCAATCAATATCGACACTGGACTAGGCATTACTGCGTAACGGTTCAAATCGCCACACTTCATATTAGCAAAGCGAGTAAAAAAGTAATTGACTGAAAGATAAAGAAAGAGATCGGTCAAAAGCAGTAAAATAGAGGAATGAGAAAATGCTAAATTCAGTTTAGCGATTAAGATGAAGATAATGTGGTCCATCTGTACCACTGCCATAAATTCTGAGCCATGTCATTTGAATCTACAACAACTGTTTTCTGTTGTTACGTGGGCCCCAATTACCTACTTTGAATCTGCCGACATGGATCAAGCCAACAGTTAAGGACTTCATACAATGATGCCATGCTTTAGTCTCACCACCCCGAGCCTTTTTCTAGCTCAGAACTGCTTCAGCTATGATTGTGCGACGAGACAGACGGTAACTAGGAATGCGCAACACATGTCCCAGCCACCTGAGTCGATAAAGGTTCACGACCTTATCAACTGAGTTTCCTCTCCTCCTTAAAACTTCGATAAACAGGCAGAATAAGCATAGAACCTCGCACACAAGTTCATCGGTTCAAGTTGCCACGCTTCATAGTAGTATACAAAGACAAGTGGATGGAATAAGAGTCATATCAAAGTGGGAAGAGTTGTGTGAGAGAATAAAAAATCTAAAGGTAGAGGTTAGTGCGAGTATTCAGGCTTTAGATGTCAAGGAGTGGATGCGTCTGCTCCACTGCGACGGATTTTCAGCCATTTCATCAAGAGTCCTCAACCACTTTGGTTTTGTCTCGAGGACGCCAACTAGGCAGTATACATCTCCTCAAACGACCCAGGCTAACAGTCATGGACTTCATCGACTGATACCCTATCTTGGTCTGACCACCGTGAATCCTCTTCCAGCCTAATCCAAATTCCTCTGTTATTACACGTCAAGGTAGGCGTTTACTCGGCATGGGCAACACATTTTCAAGCCAGCTCAGAAGATGAAGGCTGACAACCTTATTAATCAATTTGCCTAGTACCCTTCGCCTGAATTTAACATTGATGATACAGTGATTCAGCTATGCGCGAGCGATGCCACGAAGACATCTGTGATCCAGTCCCAGTAATCGTTTCGTGTCTTCTTCTTTTAACGAACATATCATGGCTGTGCAACAAGACAGAACGGACTGTAGGGCAATGTACTCATCGGTTGATAGATAGTCGGACGTATAGCCAGTTGGGACCAGAGATGAGGCTATTCGGCGAATGCCAAACTGGGCTTCCGTATCCGAGCTGAGGTTTCGTCAGCAACCACCTTGTTTGCGCTGGCAAACTCCCAAGTAAGCGAAGTGATTGACGCATTCCACCATTTCACTCCCTATCTGTAAACTGGGAGTACTTAGAACAGACCAGTCGTGCAGCACCTTACGTTTGACAGGTGCGAGCTAAGTGCATGCCAAACACTCGGATTTCCACTCAACGCTTTTAGAAAATCCTGCATTTTTTCAGCATCTTCACCTAACAGGACAATGTCGTCTGCATACTCCAAGTCAACCAGATAACCCAGGCTGTAACACGCCCATGGGTGTGATTTCACAAACGCTGTGTCATCTCTACAATAAAATACTGCACAATCTTCCGATCAATTTATTCCAAAAACTTAGATGTTCTTCAATACTACTATTTATTAATATGCTTGTAATTCCCCATTGTTTTATTGGATCGAATTGTTCGACCTCCATTGGCATGTGGGCTCCTATGCGAATGTCCCGATATTGTCTAGGTGTTAATTGTGGTAATTTAGTTGGTTGTGGCTAGCAGAGGAATCCAGGATGCGCGTTTCGTCCCGTTTGGGACTCGTCAGCTGGATGTGCTTGCACCCCAGTGCGAAGTGATGTCGTTCCCATTGAGACCCGAAGCGATGGGTACGAGGTTCGAGCCCCAGTGGGGACAACGTCACTCACTGGGGTGCAGGCACATCCGGCCGATGAGTCCCAAATAGGATGAGACGCGGCTCTTCAATACTATTATTTTAAAAACTGTGGTTACGAAATAAAGTTGAAGCACTTCACTATCTTTGTGCAAATTTAAACTGATGAGTCCAAAATAGGAAAAAACGCACGTTCTAGATTTCACTGCTAACCACCACCAGGTAAATTATCTACAGTCATTTTTCTTACGCCTGTTTGTCAGTTCCAATTATGATGACAAAAATCTATACCTTGTTTTCTAAAGTAAATCGGATTTATTCAACTGTCTTTGTGAGTTATTTCATGGAGAGAAGATAAGATGTTTCAGCTGATAAATGTCATTCAGTTATCTTTTTCACTCGTGTCTGTGGTGTTTTCGGAGTGGAATTATGAATTAAATTATCTGCACTCAGTATTCACTGGAATCAGCTAATTCAGAATGATACAGAGAGAACAAGGATGATAACTGTAGTACATGCTTTCCAAGCAGTACCAAAACAGCACTCCCACCAAACAGTTCACACCATCGCGCCTACATAACATTAAATACCTGTGTATACAGTAGTGATAGTAGCGTAGAATCACCAAATATTCACACCGTCAGGTTCTGGAATACAGGAAGGGGTACCGACGCCCGACAATAGCTGTATTTTTTTGACCTAAAGACGGCATTCGACTCCGTCGTTCGAGAAGTCTTACGGCAGTGTCTCTCATTGAAAGGGGGTACCAAATAAGTACATCATCCTACTGAAAGCTCTTTAGTCGAACACCTGTAGGCGTGTTAGAGCCTATGGTGAAATACCGAGTGAGTTGTGTACTTTAAGTGTCCGTTGAGGATGCCCACTCTCTGCATTCCTATTCTGTTTTATCATAGATGTTCTTATGGAGGTCTCCTTCTGGACATCCAACTATGCAGGGATTAACCTAATCACAGCAGAAGTTTTGGTATACCTAGAATACGCAGATGACACTGTCCTGTTGGGTGAAGAGGCTGACAAGATGCAGTCTTCTGGACATCTTGAGTTGGAATATTTGAGAATGTTTGGGATGCGTTTCTTGCCACCCAAATGAAAATTGTCTCTCCAGGACTGGTCTTCGATAATGCCCCGATTAACAGTAGGGAGTGACATGGTCGAGTGCGTTGAACACTTCACTCACTTGGGAAGTCGGATTAGCCCTGGTGGGTCCGTGACCGACGAAATTTCTGCACCGATACAAAAGGCTCGGTTGGCTTTTGACAACTTACATCCTGTGGCGCCGCCGCGATATCCGATTGTCTATCAAAGGTCGAGTGTACCGTGCTGCAGTCTGCTCCCTTCTACTCAATGGCTGTAAAACAAGGTGATTAAAGGTAGCAAACATGAGAAGGCTGCAGGTGTTTGATCACCGTTGCCCTCCTAGCATAGGCCGTATTTCGTGGCGTCACCGATTGAGTAACACAGAAGTCAGACGTAGATTTTTTAGGCAGAAGAAGTGAGTCAGTTGATGCTGCTGTGAGCCTTCATCATCTCAGATGTCTGGGACATGTGTTACGTATATCTGGCCACTGTCTGCCTCGTAGCACAATATTGGTTGAAGTAGGTTTAGGCTGGAAAAAGGCTAGGGGTGGCCAGACCAAAACATAGCATCAATTCATGAAGTCCTTGACTGTTCGTTTGAGCCATGTAGGATGATCCAGACTAGCCGATTGGGGTCCACGTGGCTAGAGAAACCAAGGGTTTGAGAGTAGGTGACATGGTTCAATCGATGTCAGTGGTGCAGATGTATACACACACTATCCTCACATTAACCGCTATACTTAATCTCATCATATCATTCTTCTTTCTCTTTTACTACTTTTTGCTTCTACTTCCTTTGACCAATTTTCCTTTTTTCATCTTCCATTTTATTGCCTTGCTACTTGATGTGCTGATATTAGATGTGACAACTTGAACCATCACTCAGTGATGCCTGGTCCTTGATGATGAGACTCAGCTACATTTCAACAATAAGCAGCCGGTTTACAGTATAAGTCATACTGGCATAAGACAGGAATGTAGCCAGCCAATGAGGTGATTAGCAGACATGTTGAGACATAACTCATTGATTCATACATATGTCACATGTGTGTCTGAACAGTTGGTTATCATAACATGTGCATATCAGTTGGATGACTATTGAAAACTAGGGTGACTGGAACTGTTGTTGTTTTATGGAGAAATGTAGACGACCAAGTTGGTGAATAAAGACTTAAGCTGATGTGGTTAAGAATCGGTTTCATTGATACAAATGCATCTACACATTATCTTGATTGGGACCACATTTTGTTGTTGATTTACCCTGTCTTCTTGTCTTCCTATGCTTTTCTATGACCTTTGACCAAGGTTTTCTTTACTTCTCTATCTTTCATTTTTGTACCGTGTGTTTTGATGTGCTGACATTGAGCTACGGCAACTTGTACCGTTGTGTGGTAGTAGTGCAAGGTACCATGTTGATGCTGATTGACCGGTGGTAGCTTAGGACTCCGCAGCTTTGCGCGTCTGCAATCTCCAGAGCTATTTAACCTATGATTATCATCTCTTGGTCCTGATGAAAACTTTCAAGTCGATCAATTCTCCACAAACCTACCAAATGAGTAGCCACCTCAGTCTTTGACTGAGTTCTTAAGTTGTCTACCAATGGTATTGAGTAATTAAAAGTCAGCTATAAAAGTGTACTGCGGTCTTTTTTGAAATGAGTCATATTGAGAGCGTAAAACATACTTCATGAAATGGAGGTTATTATCGTGCTAGAATTTTACCCAAATAGTTTAAATTATTCGTATTGCTTTAATTGTGAATCCCAGTATGAGCTGTGACTTAGTGGTTTAGGGAAATGACTACCAACCAGTGGGTCACGGGTTCGAATCTCGCCCACCTACTGAGGTTCGGATAGCCAGGTAGTATCACTACCCTGCACACCGTAGATGTGGCTGATTGCTTACTGCGCGGACGTGCAAAAGGTGGCTGAGCGCATTCTGTATGAATCTGATGCATGACTAATATCTGTTTCTTTTTGAAACACTAGGTACGTATGTTGCATATAGACCAGTTGAGAAACCTTGGGATCAACAGGATTGTCAACGTGTTTGTTCTACTTCTCGTTGTTTCTGTGGTCATTTATTAAATCAGCATGAAAAATTCACTGGAAAACAAACATTTCTCAAGTGTGAACAGGTCAGTTGTTTTAAACTAAATAATTGATACTGGGTAGTGATTGAAGATGAAATAAAAATTTGGGCCGCGGCAAAACTGGAACCAGCGACATCTGTAGCTTATTGGTAAAGTACGGAGTCGGTAACCTACAGTTCCCTGGTATGATTATCACTGCGGTCCAGATCGTCACTTCCGTCCAATCATCACCCAGTATAAATAATACAAGTCTGTCGAACTACGGCTATCTCATCGAGATGGAGATGTGGCTCATCGGCTTAGAGAGATGACTTTTAACCAGTGGGTTACCGGCTCGAGCCCTGCCTCACCTACTGGGGTTTGGGCAACCAGGTAGTATCATTGATCGTCACATAGTAGGTCTATGGTTCATTGCCTAATGCACCAATGTGCTCAAGATTGCGGAGCGGATTTCAAAATTATCTCAGGCAAACTAATAAGCTAATATTTATCAGTAGGTTTATTTATTTCAAGTAATTATTCTTAGTGATATGGGGATAGAATGAGAAAAGCCTAGTCTGGAGAGAGATCGATCAAAATGTACTTTATGTTATCACTTCTACAGTTAGACAGACAGTGGATCAGCCAGTCAACAGTATTATTTTAAACAGCTAACTATTTATATGTTAGCTGTATTTTTCTTTGTTCTTGTCGTCGGTTTCTCGACCCCAATGCACGTTTCTACACATCCATCGTGTCTTCTCCATTAGTTAGTCGGGTCGGGAATCAACTTGGAGTATGTTGAATGTTGATGGCTAACACTCGATATCCATGCATCGTTAGCCGTCATAGTCCATAGCAGTTTTCAAAACATAACAGTTAGAAAGCTTTTCTTTTGATTCCATGTATACTCAGGTAGAAAATGTACATTTAAACTGAAAATGTTTGCGATTCTAACCCGTGGGAACGTATAACAATACAATGAGACAGATTTATAGAAAGATGAGACATGACACATCTATACTGCTGTGGTCAATTTATTATTTAAGCCGTGGTATATTTTAATATTGTTCCAGTGTGTTTAGATAATCAAAACAAGATTTTGATGAATATTTCAGTGTGTATGCCACAGCTTCTTCAGCAAAATATTTGGATTTCAGACACCGGTCTCAAATTCTTCCACAGCACGTTTGTTAACAAGGCATATTGTGCTTCAAAACAGTAGTCCCAACCTATAGTTGACGTAGTGATCGGACTTGTATGTCACTATGACCCGACGAGCTATGCTGATAGGACTCTTGTTCCCTCAAAGCCCTACCATACCAGAAAGGTGTGTTGGATAGCGGTTAGCGAAAAAACTGTTACTTCTAACATATTCTCAAACAATGAGAGGACGCACTGTGATGGCTTAGATCAATCATCAGTGGTTAATGGTAATCCAGAACCACAGGATGTATGTCCTACCACATCTTCCATACTACATGCCAGTTATCGTGACAGAAAAAAGGCCGTCCATGGCCAGCATCAAGCAGATGTCCCCTTGGCTCGTCGGTCACACAAATCTTTTTCTCTTTCAGGTACCTTAAGAAGAAATAGCCTTCCACAGTATGGGCAGCCGGGAAGTGTCAACCGCCTGCTCGCTTCCAGTTGTACACAAGACCCAATCACACATAACTTATCCTCCTTAACTCTATCTCTTTCTTTACTTTCGCCTCCTGATTCTAGCTCTGCAACCATTGTCAACGATCGTACTTTTCTGAGGTGTAGCAACTTGAACTGATGAAAGGTTCTACGCTGGTTTTGTCATTGAGTCAATCAGTCAAAACAAGTTTCAATTACCTTATGAATCTCGGTGGGCAAATTTACAAAATACTGATTATTGTTAATACCATTATTATCATTACTATTACTAGTATCATGTGGTTTTGTAATAATACATGATGAGATAACCTAAAATGGTCTTAACTTGACCGTTTTATCTTAATGCAGTCCCAGAGACTGCTGATTTGAAGCCGGTACATTGGTAATTTTAACTCAAATGCCTACTCTGTATAATATTGTGATAAACAGAGTACTCTATTTCCAGGGCATAACGAATGTTCCTGTCGATTTCTAATCTCTTAGCAAAACAGATACTTTATGTTATTGCGTTTGTAGTTGTTTGGTAATCAGTAAAATGAAGCATCAACTTTGACTGACTGACTGACAAAATCAACGTAGAATGTCACTCACAAATGCATCGTCAAGTTCCCACACTTCACAGTAGAACATATAGAACGAGTGGATCGAAAAGGAGTGATATCAGAGTTGTCTGTGAGAATAAACAATCTGAAGATAAAAGTTAGTGCGAATATTCAAGCTGTAGATGTCAAGAGGGTGAATATATTGCGCCATTGTGACCGATTTTTAGCCATTTCACCAAGAGTCACCAATCACTGATTCTTTTCGTCTCGCAGACCCCAGCCAGGTAATATACATGTCACTACACGGCTGAGACCAACAGTTAGAGACTGGTACCATGCTAGTTGGTTGGAGGCAGTCGACAGTAAGCTCTGGATCTAGGTTACGTGCTTTTTGGCACTCGTCAGCAAGGCGTATCTGAAATCTCAAAGGAACTGATGTCCCGCCTGAAATTCCAACCCGCGTCACCCAGTGTTGTAGTCAGCGACTTTACCACTGAGCTATTCAGGTCGTGACTGACCTCCTGTAGGACTGGCCTACATGTATTGATTGTTAACGGGAGTGCAACCAATTTCATGTCTAGCCCTGAGTGCAGACCGGTTGCCACATTGCAAATATGATCGATAGGATTTGGTCTGCACTCAGGACTAAACAACATGAAATTGGTTGCACTCCCGTGACCAATCAATACTGGCACCATGTCTCAGTCTGGTCACCTTGAACTCTCTTCCAACCTAATTCAGCTTCCTTTAGGACGGCATGTTGAGGTAAGCAGTGGCTTGGTATGCGCAGTACATGTTCATACTATCTCAGCCGATTACAGTTCACAACCGCGTCAATCGACTTGCCTGTCTTGTCTAGTACTCTTCGCCTGACCTCAAAATTGCTTACGCAGTGATTTCAGCACACGCCAGCAATGCTGCGAAGACATCTGTGATCAAAACCCAGTAATCGCTTCGTGCATGTCTCACAGCTGCACAATAGGACAGAACGGACTGTAGTACAATATACTCATCGGTTGATAGATAGTCGGATATATCACCATTTAGCGAATGCCAAACGCGCCATCTGTATCCGAGCTGACATTTTATCAGAAACCACCCTGTTTGCGCTGACATATTCCCAAGTAAGCAAAGTGATCGACACATTCCACCACTTCATTCCTTATCTATAAACTGGGAGTACTCGCAGCAGACCAGTCCTGGGGCATCATCTTACATTTGACAGGTGCGAGCTAAACTTTGGTCGCTGGTTCGAATCCTGCTGCGGTCCAGATTTTCATTTCACCTTCAATCTTCAGCCAGTATAAATAGTGGTCTGCTGAACCACGGCTATCTCAGATCGTCAGGATGATAAATAACATGAAAACGCATACTTCTCTTATTGGGAATGCCTATATCCCTCATATTCCATACTTACCATCGGTACATTTTGGACATTTTTCCCGCACGTCTTTCAAGGTTGCAGTAACCTTTATGAATAGGTTATAGTTTTTCAGTTCGAGATACTATAAACTCAGTTGATAACCAGTTTTTTGATTTCCCTCTGCGAATCATTTGGGTTGAACTGTCTCAACCGTCGATTATTATCGTTTGTTCTTGCAACTCTGCATCATAATATCTACTCTTTGTTTAGACTGGTTGTATCTGTAAAGGATTCAAGTTTATTCCCAATAGACCAGAAGAAGTTGGTGAATTCTGGTTGATAAAACGCAGAGATTTTGATCGTAACACCTATCGAGTCAAGTGTAAGTGTAAGCATACCCATGAAGAACACATAGCTGATCCAGTACCGTATCGATGTAAAGCTAAAGGATGCAGTTGTTCAGGATTTACATCTGCTTTTCTATGCTCAGCATGTGATAAAAGATGGAATGAGCATCAAACTGTTTTTGAAACTGAAATGGAACGTAAAGTTGAAGGACGTCCTGTTGGTAAGCTGTTCAGTGTGTGCATATTTCTAAAAATAAGATATCAATGTTCAAGGTCATTATTCATTACACTCATAGCATCGACTAGTTCTTATATTATACTCAGTTAGGTACTTCTATGACAGTGATGATAGCTGATTAGAATGGGTAAAATAACCAATTTTTGCTGAATACCAGTAAGCTATTTCAACATTTTCTTTGAAGAAAGAATGATCAAGATTTTAATCGCTAAAATTTCGTGTCACCGACCAAAACCATGGGTAACACGGGTTCGAACCTCAGGCGGGACATCAATTCCGTTGAGGTTGCAGATACGCCTTACTGACGAGGGCCAACAAGCACGAAACCTAGGTCCAGGCGTTTCTGCAGATTGTATCCATGCAACTAGCATCTATCAAAGTGCATTAAGATGCTGAACTGCCTAGTCTGGTAGTCTGTTAATGTGAGAGTATACCGTAAAAAATTATTATTTTATTGCTATCGATAGAGTATATTCTTATTACCTTTGGGTTGGTATTCATCATGTACCGACATTGGATGGAGAAACATTGGGAACCTGGGAGCACTGGACAGCTGTCTCGTCCCAGTATGGGACTCCTCAGCAGTGCGCACTGGGATGAAACACCTGTCCAGTGCTTCTAAGTTTCCAGTGCTTCTCCAACTGATCTCAGTCCATGATGAATACTGACCTGAAACCAATAAATTCATCCCCAAAAACCTCCAAATTGAATTAATCTAGTGCTCACTGGTGACATCGAAAGGTTAATCCTGAAGTTCCAATGAGAAGTCGTGACCAGTGGGACCAACCAAGTCAGACATGGGGACAGTTACTCGACGACGGCATTGTATGGAGGTTGTACCATATTGTGGACTGACAGAAGTAGGAAATGTAGATCATTGGATTCCGACCCAACGGCTCAGTGGTGACGTGGTGGTCGCGAAACCTGAAGGTCGTGGGTTCGGTCGATGGTGGTGTGGAGTCGTAGTTGCGCACTGCTGAGGAGTCCCACAGTAGGATGAAACAGTTGTCCAGTGCTCTCAGGTTTCCAATCTTTCCCCAACTGATGTCAGTCCATGATTCATATCAACGTAGAATCAATAAGTCCCCACAAACCTCAAAGTCGTATTATTCTTATTAGTTAGAGTTATTGTTCCAGTGGTTGTTTGTAAGACTTACGATACAGATTTAATAGACCTGAACTTAAAAACTTAGTTATAAAATACTGTACATGCCGTAATCCACTTGCGAGTGTAAACGGTCACACGTATTTGAGGTAATGATGGGAGTTTAGAGAAAAATAAGACCTTGGCATGATTCGAACTAAGTTTTATGGCTCATGTATTCTCCTAGTCTCTGTTATTATTGTACCACACTTAAATTCGTCTGAAAAACTCAGATAGTCTCTTATGCGTGTGCTGAACTTAAGTCTCTTACTTATTGGTGTTCTGATGTTACCGAGTATAACTGGATTGTAGGATTTCTCCTAACTGATGGGTTACGAATTGGGAAGCCGTTGTTTTGCGTCTACATCACTTTTTCATACAACATTGCATACTGACTACTGAATTATTGTCCGTACACTACTGAACATTACAGAAGACAAAACTGGGGAGGTGAGGTAAACTGTTCTAGGGGAAACTAGCAACAACTAGTTTATAAGTGATATTTGATATTTGAATTAGGTTAATACTGGATCAACCTCGCCCGGTTAACTAGTTCACTGTTTACTAGCCGGTCCTAAGCCCGGGTAAAGAGGGTAGGTTGGGCGTAGGGTCAGCAACCCTACCCCATAAAACCAATCCAACCGCTAAAGAAACTTGAAAGCACAAACGATATATATAAATAAAAACAAAATTATTCCTCGCTGGGACCAGGGAGACGAAATGATGCCGGTTAGTGAAAGACTTCGGGAAGCCAATTGGCCGATGCGTCTTCTCTCAGAGGCGATGAAGATACCCAACCAACAACAAGCTCCAATCAAGATTAACAGGAAAAACTTGAAGGAAGTAGCCTTTTTCACCTATCTAGGCAGCACTGTTTCAACTATAGGCGGCGGCGGCACAGACGAGGACGTCAAAGTAGCCAAGATCGGAAAGCAAGACAGTGCTCCTATATGGTTTAGAAACTTGGCGCGTTACGAAAGGGATTTTCAACAAACTACAGATATTCATCAACAACTGCCTACGATGGCTCGTTACTAAAGCTCAGATGGCCAGAAATAATAAGCAACAAGGAACTCTGGGAACGAACCAACGAAGCAAGAACCTATCACCCAACAAATATGCAGAAGAAGAAAATGGAGATGGATTGGACATACACTGAGAAGAGCAGTTGAAGACATCACGCTCGAGGCCGGGCCGTCGAGTGGAACCCCGATGGTAAGCCACGAGTTGGGCGTCCGAGGCGAGGGTGACATGGAGGAGATCGTGCGAGGAAAAAATGGAGCTTGTAGGCTGTCATGGCGCCAGGTTGAAAAGATTGCAGAGAAGAGAGTGCACTGAGGACGTGCTACTGAAGTACTATATTCCACTAGGAACCCAAGGGACAAATAATAAATAAATAATAATACTCGATCAGTCCAATGCGAAGGATGCTGTCTTTGATCAAGGTTAAGGATGAATATTCGGAGCACATTTCATGTTGAAACACTGACGGATCAGCTACTGGTCTGTCCATCTATTCTACGACAGTACTGTACTAGGTCTATTAACAAAGGTGTACTAGTGACCAGTATGCTGAATCGTATAATTCTACAGTTATCAAAGTTTTGAATCATTTAGCATAGAATAACCACTATAACCGTTGACTAGGCATGTGTACTAAACTGTCATGATAGGGCAAGCTGAGGTAGTTGAAGGAAGGATTAGAAACTCATAACCTGTTGTAGCTAATGCTCTCATAAACTTTTACTAACGAGCCAAAAATTACTCTAGTAAACATTTTAATATACAAATTATTAACTTAATTGGCATAAATTCAAAATGTTTAGGAATATTTTCTAATATATGTATGTTTCATTAGGTGAAGCCTGGTTTCCATTTGCTGAATTACCAGAATTGGCTAAAATTGCACTGACTGGTGTAGATAATCCAGGTATTCAAACATTGGCGGATGCTTTACCCTCAGAATCTCGTAAAAAGTTGTTAGATCAAGAAAATCCACGTGGACTACCACCACCACCATCACCAAGTCGAAGAAACAAATAATAAAATCATCATCTTGTCATATAAAAAGTTATTTTTTAAGATTGTTTTTTTCAAGTATACTTTCCCTCCCTTTCTCTCTCTCTTTCTGAGTATCTTTCTATCAAGATGGAATTATTAACATCTTATACTATTCAGTTACTTTTGAAGTGATTTTAAAGGGGCTACTCCAGCAATTGCTGAATACACCAATCAGGCTTTGATATTTCGCCTTGAAAAGTACTTTTCCATAAAATAAAGGAATGTAATTGGCTGTTTTATCAGTTGCTAGAATGACGTTTAAAGTCACCTGATTTTAAGATTATTTATAAATAGAAAATCTACTAGTTTTACGACGAATATTTCTGGGAATAAATACCATTTTACTATTATTGTGACATGACAATAAAGTTGACTTTTATTGCACAGCTTATTTATTTGCCAGTCAGTTATACGAATGTTTTAAACATATCAGATAACTTCTATAGGAATGATATATATATTTTTAGATGACAGGATACTCATGCCGGTAGACTCAAGTTCAGAACATCCTGCAGCATACATTTTATCAGGTGGTTCCGAAGAAGAAATGGAAGTGACGGCTACAGCTGTGACAACGATCACGGTGGTAGACGGTAGAAGACCAGTAACTCCATTTGAAACAATTTCACAGTCGCCTATAATAACAATAACTCATCCAATAAATAACTTGAACGTTGACCTAGATGTCAGTGTCGACAATCTAACGGAGGTTGTGGAGTTGGTCACTCGAAACTCTGAGAAGATGGACCATGTAGATGTAAATGAAGAGGAGGATTATGTCTACAGAGGAGTTTGTGAGGTATCCTTACAAACTTGTGTCAACCTCCATTCCACATGCCAGTCAGTACATGGATAGCGTGCCGCTGTCATGTTACATTCCATATAATCTGCTCATAGAATCCACACCCAAGAAGTTTTTGTCGCGAATGTCCTGTGTGTGGAGATAACCGCTGGCAGGACTCGTTAGCTGAATGTACCTGCAACCCCAATGAGTGATGTCGTTCCCATTGTGAATCTAACTCAGTACCCAACGCTTCAAACGCCAGAGCGTTATCCATTAAGCCAAGTCCCAAATATATATATATATATATATATATATATATATATATATATATATATATATATATATATATATATATATATATATAGTTCTACTGAATAATTTCTTGTGAAACAAAGCAGAGTTCTTACTTATTCTAATTGTACTTTTAAATATATTTTCCTTAACTTCCTTGTTCAATTTACTTTTATTATTTTTTTCGAAAAGTGCATTTCCTACTGATTTCTAATACCTTTTTTTCCCTCAATAAAATGCGTATATTTAGTAATGATGAGCAGTGGCTAGCAGTGGAATCCAGGATACGTATTTCATCCTATTTGGGACTCGTCAGCTGGATGTACCTGCTTCCCAGTGAGTGATGTTATTCTCACCGGGATTCGGACTCGGGAGCGATCAATAATACAATAATACAAGCAATAACACTAAAATGAGTATATTTTACCAAAAAGATAATTAACTTAATCTTTAATCCATATATATATATATATATATATATATACGACTAGTATTTTATGTGTTATAAAACAGCAATAACCAATGAGAGTGTTGTTACATGTGCAAACGGTAATCATAACTCAATCAGATATAGATAGTTGACGTTTATTATTCGACACATTTCTCCCCCCCTAATTTACTTAGAGTGGAAAAATGAAAAAGGATTGGCTGATTTCTCTGTTTATGTGGCCAGGTTACTTTCCGATTGGAACAAGATATATAAGCGAACAATATTGTTTTCAATTAGATCCTCTTCAGGCTTAACTCTAACACAAATAGCTACCCTAACAGTTTCATACGAAGACACATGGACAAAGCCAGGGGGAACAAACCTGGTACTACTACCATACAAAAGAAACCTTTATTTATGAAATTTCAATTTAATGGGGATATAGCTGGAGAAGTTTTATACCAGAGACTCTCTAGAGCGATTAAAATCACCTTCTACGCCGCACAATTTTGTCTATCATTTTCCAGTCGACCAATTGTTACTGCTCAAACAAAAGATAAGTTATCTAGTTTTGCAATTTCTATGTGTAGTTACAAGTTTAGCTACTCCTGTGGAGAAAGCTATATAGGGTGTACTACTAGACAACAAACGTGTTGCTGAGCCTCTACCTTCATAGTTGGGAAAGGGACAGATAAAATCCATCAGAAGCTCAGTTTCATCTCACCTCGTTGATAATGGTCACTCGGTAGATAAGAATATTGCTTTCACGATTATACGCCGCATACCATCTCATCCTTCGAAAGGTATTCAAACTCGTCTTTTACACATAGCAGAAGCTGAGCTAATAATCCTAGCCTTTGTATTCAGAAGAAGTTTGTACATCCCTTATCTCTCCCTTTGCCAGGGATTACTTAGTTAATAACTTTATCATTCAGTTACTATTATTATTATCTTTTCCCTATCCCTTTTCTTATTCTTCTCCCCTTTTCGTATACCTACTGTATTCATCTAGGCTTTGTTTATCCACTTACCTCACCCTTCACTATTATGTAACTTTTATCTTCACAAGCTTTTGATCCATTTTGATTATTGCTGGAGTGTCTACATTTTCATGCTGCTATCTTGGTTCTTACCATCATCATGTATATTGCCTGTGTTTTAGTCAACGTTATCACTTTTATCAATTTCATTATTATTATTTGTATTATTATCTCCATCGTTATATGAAACATTTATCACATCAACCGACAAATCTACACGACTGGTTTAATTATGCATATATATTAAGCTATTTTATTAGAGTAAAGCCTGAAGAGGATCTAATTGAAAACAATGTTGTTCACTTATATGTCTTGTTCTAATTTACATGATGGGAATTTTTAAAACTTTCCTATTGGACTAGGACTATTTGTAGGAATCTGATTAGTTGAACTCACATAACCTATCTATATTTAGATTGGCTTAAAAAAATCATCGTTATTTGTCACAGTAAATCTGTTTTAAGAATGTAATCGCCATCAGGTTAAGATTAAATCCAAAATTAATTTAAAATTTTACAGAGAATTCTATTCTTTAGTGACAACGTTGTACAATATTTTAGGGAACCTGTTTCAAAATGTACTGAGTGTAATTATTGTTATAGTAATTATGATTTCCCGTTGCTATACAGGGCTGAATTGCTCGACCTCTGTTGATAGATGCGGATGCCTCGATACTGCTGCTTATTCATAATACAGCATTTATCTCGATGACTAGCAGAGGAGTTCAGCACTCGCATTTCGTCCTATTTGGGACTTGGCTTAATGGATAACGCTCTGGCGTTTGAAGCGTTGGGTACTGAGTTAGATTCACAATGGGAACGACATCACTCATTGGGGTTGCAGGTACATTCAGCTAACGAGTCCTGCCAGCGGTTATCTCCACACACAGGACATTCGCGACAAAAACTTCTTGGGTGTGGATTCTATGAGCAGATTATATGGAATGTAACATGACAGCGGCACGCTATCCATGTACTAACTGGCATGTGGAATGGAGGTTGACACAAGTTTGTAAGGATACCTCACAAACTCCTCTGTAGACATAATCCTCCTCTTCATTTACATCTACATGGTCCATCTTCTCAGAGTTTCGAGTGACCAACTCCACAACCTCCGTTAGATTGTCGACACTGACATCTAGGTAACGTTCAAGTTATTTATTGGATGAGTTATTGTTATTATAGGCGACTGTGAAATTGTTTCAAATGGAGTTACTGGTCTTCTACCGTCTACCACCGTGATCGTTGTCACAGCTGTAGCCGTCACTTCCATTTCTTCTTCGGAACCACCTGATAAAATGTATGCTGCAGGATGTTCTGAACTTGAGTCTACCGGCATGAGTATCCTGTCATCTAAAAATTTCCTTATATGCCAGTTACAACACTTCGAATGGTATCTTCACTCATCGTGGAAATAAAGCAATCCTTCCCCGGTTGGCTCTGTTTTATAGTACATTTTGATTTCATGCAACCAATCACTTGGGTCTTTACCTTGTTCATTTTCATTGAACAATAAGTGGCACAGGAAGTGAGGGAGAGGGGTAGAAAATAACATTTACAAAAAACTACTAGTCGTGGACCAAATGTATTTCGATGTAGACTGATGCGTGGATTATATGTGTCTGACCAGTCACAAATCTTCACAGTTTCTTATATATTTTTCCGTATAATTCACCGACAGAACTACTGTTTATTCTGTGTCTATTGCCGAACAATTTGTGGTAATGATGTGCTGGTGATAACATGATATGCTGACCCTGACTGTTCAGACTAGCTAAAAGTTATTATCAGTATAAGTTATTGGTAAGACGATAGATCTACTTTCAAACTTGTACTCAACTTTCTTCTAAACGTAATGATGGAGTAGAACTTTTTGAATAAGAGACTATGAATTTTCACTCTACCAACCAACGAAAACGTAATCTTCGTAACACCGTCAACAAACTGTTAAACGGATATATGTGAATAACACTGAATATACCACCTGTAACCTGATTGGGTGTTTCCCTAAGATTTCTCGTCACTAAAGTTTAGTTCAACCGAAGTCTCTTCCCATGAATCTTTTCTTCAGGACAGTGTCATATATCCCAAATGCTCATATTTAATTTGCATGCAACTTCATTGATTATTCAAGTTCATTCGGTTGTTTGCTCGTTATGTCTGTTATTCTGTATTTCCGCCCGAAAGTTGTCACAGAAATATGCAGAATAAATTGTCATCTCTATATTAAAAGAAGTTAAAATAAGGAACTGTTCGTTGATGAGTCTTTAATGTATGAGTATAACTTCGTCTGGATAAATAATGTTTGCGGTGGATCGTTAGAGTTTTATCGTCCTTGAGAGACTACCAAATGACCTTGGGGGACCAATAAGAAGTGGCTCATCTATTGGCAAGTAACGCAGAAATGAAAGTAAATTCCCAGTTTTCGAACGCGGTTTTCCGCGTAAAGTTGAGGAGACCAATTAAAACTCATTCCGTTGACGATATTGGATGTCAGTTTGATTTCAGATTGGAAATTAAGGCATAAATTGGTATCGCAAACTTACTTGGAATTAATTGGTAGGTTTTAAGGAGTTACACTAAGGATTGTGATTAGGTTTCGAGGTGTGCAAACTAGTACGAAAGCATATTTCGGTGAGATCTTGTTCATAATTTTATTTCCCAATGGAATAATGCAGGGACATGTATAACCTCCTCAGAGTTATGAAATAATGCTGGACAGTATGCGTGAGAAATACTTCTGTTCGATTCAACTGAAGTCATGTATAATCAAGGACATACTTCCAATAATTAGGATCTTTCCAAAACTATCCCAGTCACGTTTAACGTGGTTGGCTGCTTCAATGTCGTTCAGTAGTTAGTTGCTCAAGGACAACAAAATTCTATAGTTCTGTCAATTGTGGAAACGAGAAGTAATTAAACATCTCAGACCAATTTTTAACAGATGAGCATGTAAGCAAATCGTCCCCAGTTGTCCAATTATTTTTATTCTATTTTATTTTTCTCCTGGGTTCCTAGTGGAACATAGGGCTTCAGTAGCACACCTCCATTGCACTCTCTTCTCTGCAGTCTTCAAAACCTGGCGCCACGACTCCCCATAACCTTTCATTTCTTCCTCACACAATCTCCTCCATGTCATCATCAGATGGGACGCCCAACTCGTCATTTCTCCTTTGGATTCCACTCGACGGCCTCTCCTGGTGCGTGATGTCCTCAGTTGGTCTTCTCAGTGTATGACCAATACATCTACACTTCCTTCTTCTGCATATTTGTTGGGTGATAGGTTGTTGCTTCGTTGGTTTGTTGGCAGACCAGAGTTGTTTGTTGCTTATTCTTATTATTCTGGCCATCTGATGTGATCTTCAGTGTCAGTATTGAGTGAGTGTAGGTGGTAGGTGTTGATGTGTGTCTGTAGTTTGTTGGAAGTGCTTTTTGTGACACGCCAAATCCCTGAAGCATATAGAAGCACTGACTTGACTGAATTAGTGTTGAAAATCTGGATGTTGTTGAGGGTTTATGCTGA